CTAGACCGCAACTTGTCGTTCGAAAATCATATTTCATATGTTACAAGAACAGCCTTTTTCCACCTTAGAAACATTGCTAAGCTACGTAACATGCTATCTATTTCTGATGCAGAAAAATTAGTTCACGCATTCATGACCTCGAGACTAGATTACTGTAATGCTTTATTAGCTGGTTGTCCTGCATCCTCAATAAACAAGCTACAGTTAGTACAAAATGCAGCTGCTAGAGTTCTTACTAGGTCAAGAAAATATGATCATATAACACCGATTTTATCATCTCTACACTGGTTACCTATTAAGTTCCGCATCAACTACAAAATACTACTACTGACCTATAAAGCCCTAAATGGTTTAGCACCTATGTACTTAACGGACCTTCTTTCGCCCTACAATCCACCGCGTTCCTTAAGATCACTAAATTCAAGGCTTCTGGTCATTCCTAGGATATCGAAGTCCAGTAAAGGAGGGGAAGGCGTTCTCGCATTTAGCTCCAAAACTCTGGAATGGCCTTCCCGATACGGTCCGAGCCTCTGACTCGCTGACACAGTTCAAAACTAGATTAAAGACGCATCTCTTTAGTCAAGCATTCACATAATGCTTACCTTCTAGTCCTCTGTTATGCCATACGGAACCGTTTGCCACTGAAACTGCTTAACGCACCAGTGGGGCTCGACAGCCTCTTAGACAAACGGGTCGGCGCGTATGGTTGGGTTGCGGAGAGTTCGGGTTACGGAGAGTTTGTGAGTTATAACGGAAATTATTATGAACATCAGCTATGCTAATTATTTCCCATCTGCCTTTCTGCTGTTATCTCGGGACGCTTGTCCCGAGAAAAATGGCGTTCGTCAGGTCCAGTTTTGTGTCCAGCCTCTCACGGGGATTTCGGATGCCCCAACGCCTGTGATGAGACGACTCAACGCCTGTGATGAGACGACTCAACGCCTGCGATATGTATGGCGCCGTTTGATTCATAAACAATATTTATATTTAATATTTATATTTAAACAATATGAATGTAAGCCAGAGGAGAACTGGCCCCCGACTGAGCCTGGGTTCTCCCAAGGTTTTTTCTCCATCCAATCTGATGGAGTTTGGTTCCTTGCCACTGTCGCCTTGCTTTTGGCTTGCTTTGAGCTTGCTCAGTTGGGGTTATTTATTTAGTGTTTAGCAATGTTGTTGATCTGTGTTGTGCTACTTACATGTTATCACTGTGAAGCTGCTTTGATACAATCTGTATTGTGAAAAGCGCTATATAAATAAATGTGACTTGACTTGACTTGACTTTAGTGGCGCGAAGGGAAAGATCCGTAGCGCTTCTCAGATCCGAGAGGATGGGCGGGTTCCTACCGCTGTTCGCCATCTCGCACAAGATGTCGCTCTGGAGCACTTGGAGGACTGACATGGAATGCAGCGCTGAAGCGGCCTGTCCGGCGGCAGCATAGGCGCGGGCATGAAAGTTAGAGGTCGCTCTGCACGCTTTTGAAGGAAGCGTAGGGGAAAAACGCCATCTAGCAGAGGGCGGGCAAAGATGAGCGGCGACCAGGTCCTCGACGGGCGGCATGGCAGTATAACCCTTCTCGGCGGCTCCGTCCACTGAGCGCAGCGAAGCGGACACATCGGAGCGGTTACGAGCCGAAAGAGGGGCATTCCAGGATTTCGTGAGCTCGTAGTGAAGCTCAGGCAGGAATGGTGCAGCCCGGTTGCAGGCGGGGGCCGGGCGCCGGTGCAGGAACTTCCCATCCATGCGGTTCGGTGGTTGCTCGGGGGGAGCAGACCACTCGAGACCCAGGCGGTTGACGGCCTGCGAAAGGAGGCGCGTTAGTTCCTCCTCGATGCCGCCGCGGGTCCCCGCAGACTCTCTCGTCGATGAGCCGATCGACGACCAATCCTCGCTGTCAGAAGCGTGCAGCGAACAGGAGTCCTTCTCATCCGCGGTGTCGTCGGAGGCGACAGAGCGGCCACTCGGCGGCAACTGTATGTCCGGCTGGGGCGGAGAGGGAGAGCGGTCGGTGGGCGGCGGCCCACATGGATCCGCAGGGGGCTCCGGCGGCCTCTGGGAGCGGCGTTTCTTCTTCCGCGGCGAAGTGAGAGGCGGCGCGGGAGCGGTTTTGACCGCCTGCGGTCGAGCCCACAGGGAGGACAGAGGCAGGTCCTCGCAGTGGTCGCATCCTCCGTTGGCGAGGGCGAGCTCTGCGTGATCCACTCCGAGACAGAGAACGCAGATGGGGTGGCGGTCTCCTTCCTCGAGTGAAGAGCGGCATGAGCCGCAGGGAATTCGAGGCATCTTGAAAAAGACGCTCGGCTCTTTTGTGAAAAGGGTGGAATAAAGGATACGCGTCGGATGGGGCTAGCTTGCTGGGCGGTGAAGGTGGCAGACGGCCGGCTTCCTCAGACTCCGGAGCTCGCTATAGAAGGTGCCTTCTCGACGACGGCGGCTTCTTCCCAGGACAGCGGATGCGTGTAGCTCGCTGAATGATGAAGAATCGACGAACGAGCCTGGGAGAGCTACCTTTATACACTGTAGCCACGCCCCTTTTGGCAGGCTGTGACGCAGTGAGCGAGCGCCGTCCGCTCATTGGCCGCGGACTCAGCGCCGCTCTCCCATAGGTTCGTGCATTCTCTCTGAGCGAACCAATGAGCCGCTAGCTAGCCCGCTCATGGTCTGCCTCAGAAGAGACTGCGTTGACAATGATTACAAAATTATGGAATAATTTTTTGGCTTCAACTTCTCAGCAAAGATGAATCTTTCCCGTAGCGTAAGCTAGCTTACGCAATACAAGAGAACCTCTCGTAAGAGAACAACAGTTTCTCTTCCACCGACAGCTCGTGGGGGGCCTGATGGGGGGTGCGCGATGGTCGATCTCCCTTCAACATTACAGTGATTAGGGCTCTCATAGTGTTTGTCGTTGCATAGGGGGAATCCCTTTAGTTTGGGGGGGGGGGGGGGCTCTCACTCACGGAGCAGTACTGGAGAGTGATAGCGCTGTCTCGCTGTGGTGGTTTGTTTACAGTGGTTGATACTGTTTGACGAGGGCAGATAAAACCCAAACGACCTTGCGGCCATCGGGGCCCCCTTCAGCTGGGGGCCCTAGGCAGCTGCCTACCCCATTGCGACGGCTCTGGTTACAATCTCAACTTCTGACTCTCTTAAATTTACTGGTATATGTTGTACTGCCCACTGTGCCCAGTCATTCGCCCAGTTCACATGTGGATTCTCCACATGTCACCTCCCTTCAGGCAGAATGTGACTTCCTTCCTTCCTTACATGTACAGGGAATGCTTTGCAAGTGGTCCTGTAGGAACAGCAGTGACTTCCCTGGCCTAAGCCTTGTCCCTTCCCTGCCTTAAATTGCAGCTTTAGTGGCGTTTTAAATGGTTATCCCCATTTAGTTGACAACGCCTGGTGCTGGGAAAGGGAACATCCTGATTGCGTATGGAACCCACCGTTCCCTGAAGGAGGGAACAGAGGTTGTAGCAACCTTACCACTAGTAGACTTCATTGTCACTTAGTCACAAGTACCAGCGAAATTAGCCATCAACCTGTCCATACAGACATACATACAATAAGACAAGGGGGTAGACAGGACAGGAAGACATAACATTGAGGAATAAATACAGCATAACATGAGGAGAGGTGAGGAGAAAAAAAAGGCAACCCTTTTAACCCCCAGACTATGCTCCTGTGAGGATTACAGTTTGGGAACAGTAAAAAAACCCCCACCTCAGCAACATTAGCACATAATCAGTACACTCTACAACATGAACACACAAGACTTGCAACAGGGTACATGGAGTGGGGGATGGAGGTAACTCAGCACAGGCAAGCAGCCATCCGGTCCTGCAGCCATTCTTGGCGCTGGTCACAGACCCGCCTGTCAGACTGGGGGTACAAAGCGGCGAGGGATGGGGTGAGGAGCGTGTGATTGCATATCTGTATTTAAGAGTTTGTGTATGTGTAGACCTGGAGAGTCGCAATGGCTGGCATCATAATCTAGGTGCCTCAAGTCCACAGGATTGTCATAGCGATACCTTGATCAGGTCCCAGACAGAGTCAACAATCACCAGGTGTCTGGTGGAGTCGGGGAAGGAACGCAAGAGCGGCTCACTGCAGTGCTCTTCCGGAGGAGGTGTTGTTCCAACAGTTCCACTACCGCTGGACCACTGCAGACTCGAGTTACGCTCGGCTTCTCAACGAAAAGCAACTAGTGCTTGCATGCACATCTGTATTTATACCCCGTGAGGGCGGAATATGTGATGTAATCACGCACGTAAATGTCCATTGGCTTGTTCAATAGTACTCAAAGACGATTGGCTCCCTGGCGTGATCCCCATTCAGTCCACGTGAACTACTTCCTCCGTTCCCTCCTTCAAAGAACGTTGGGTTGCATACGCAACCAGGACGTTCTTCGAGTAAGATTTATGTAGAAAACGTAATTTCACATGACCCGGTTGAGTTTGGAGCGAGTCTGAATCATTTTGTGTCAAAAGAACATGGATACAGAGAAACAATATTTAGCCTGCAAAATAATTACTTTATCTGCATGGTTTGAGAGGCGCCCACGATTGTTTACCTTTATATATATATATTTATATATATATATCATAATGTTCTTTATGCACAATGTGATGCGTTATTAATGATGTTAATTGGATTTGTCATACTTCTGTTGCATATACAGTAGGTGGACATTGGCACGAGAAACTTGTAAAGGACTAAGAAATGCATATTTTGAATATTATGTTTTTATATATTGTTTTCAATGGTGTCTGCTGATGAGAGAGAGAGAGGAGAGAGAGAGAGAGAGAGAGAGAAGAGAGAGAGAGAGAGAGAGAGAGAGAGAGAGAGAGAGAGAGAGAGAGAAAAAAACAACAATTATAGACATCCATAGGAAGTCTGGCCTTTTTTGTCAGACCTGTGCAGCTATTTGTAACAGCTAGCTCTCACATGGAGTAATGAGAATAAGTGGGAGGTGTAGTCACATGGCTCTGATCAGGCTAGTGTCACATGGTTTGTGTTTGCAGTGACTTCAGAGCACTGGACTAACTTCTGTTACACACAGTTATGATGAAAGTGTTTTATTCTTCCTTTGTGAAATACTGAAACTACAGAGGAACTTTTAATCGAAAAGTGGCAGTGAAACAATGGAAATACCAGCCATAAGTCTCAAGGTAATTTGTTATTTTTTATTTATATGTGTTGTATAGTTTGTAAATTTATTGTTAAATGATCCATAAAAAAACTGAAAGATCAAAAGGAAGAGGTTGTTGTTGTTTTATGTAAAAAGTTTTTTGTACACTTTATGAAACAGGAAATATCAAATAAAAACATCAATAAATACATAATTCATCATTCTAAAGCAACTTTTTGTCAGTTTTATGTCTTACGTTATTTCCTCAAATGTGCTTCCCTGATTCTAGTCGCAAATCCTGATTCTGTGTTTCAAAACCTAAACTGTTTACCTAAACAGCATTTTCTGTGCATTCATCATATAGATGCATTCAGAAGTGTATCACAGTTGGCCGGGCAAAATCTTTATTTAGTACCAAATTGGGTTACACATTTTAGCTTTCTTTAAGCAATATTTACTTAGGTAAAAATAAGTTAAAATAATTGTTTGGTACAACATGCTTATTGTGTTCATGTTGTATTGCAAAACACTGCACTTTTGAGATATGGGTAATGTTAGAGATAGTTTTCATGGTATGGTTAAGTTTAAATGCTGGTTCAGGGGTGGGTGTAAAGGGTCAACAGTAATTATAGATGTAAGTACAGAAATGAATTACAGATGTAATTATATGCAGGTTAAAATATAAGTACAATGTGAATATATGTACTTTATTAATATTAATGTATCAAATTATTAATGTATTAAATTACCCTTAAAGGGCATATTGCAGGTTAGAGGACCCAACGAGTCAATGCATAGAAAAACAATGTAGGAACTAGATTTTCTTTAAAATATACGTATAAACACGCCACAGAAGCTTCTGCAGTCGTTTTTGTGAGAAAATTTTACTTCCGCGTCTGAAAATGGGCGTGGCGGGCGTGACGCAATGAGCGGGAGAGCGGTCGATTCACACAACAGGAAAACAATGGATCGCATGACATTTCGGACGCTGAGGAAATACTCGTATGACGGATCAAGCCATAAAGTTATGAGCCTGCTATGCTAAAGAGATCAGGGACAGGCCAGGATAATGTCAGACAGAATGGTCAGAGAAAAATTGACCTGTGATGTGAGGAGAACCAGTGGAGAACAGGACAGGTGCCTTTTAGGTGAGAGACGTGCTTATAGTATACACGTTCGCTAAAGCCTAGTTCACACTACGTGATTTTAAGCCCGATTTAAGCCCGATTTGCAAATCGTTGAGTCGCCGACAAGTCAGGGTGTTATCGCGTGCAAATCGCGGGCGATTAGCGGACGATTAACGCTCGCCAATCCGTTAGTGTGAAAGAGCCAACAACGCATCAAAGACAGCTCGCAGACAGCTCGCAGACAGGTCACCGAGCTCAGAAAAATATCTAGCCTGCTAGATATCTCGAGCAGTCGCGCGACTCAATCTCAGTGATGTCATGAGTACAGCCAATCATAGCAACGCATGGGTTGAGGACACCAGGTAAATCTTACTTTTTCTTTTTTGCATTTTTTTTCTCAGAGCAGATCGTCGAGCAAACAGTGTGCAGCACTAGTTTCTGTCTGACGTCCATATTCGCGTGTTATGTTCTTCTCTGTAGTTTCGCGTCATTTCTGGTTCGTTTTATTGCGTGGTTTTTCGTTACAAAACATGGTTTCTAGACCAGATAGAATCGTGTTGTTGTCAACTCGTTATTTGTTTGATTATTTTCAGGATTTCGACCGTACTATAGTACTGAAACAGCTCTCATTGAGTCACAAATGATATGCTCTTATCATCCGATCGTGGTTGTATCTCTATGCAGTGCGTTGTTAACTCGTGTAGTGAGTTACCTCCTGTTGTGGATCAATCACGTTGTGTTGTGTGGTGTGAACAGCTAAACAACTTGAACACTCATGATTTCACTGAGAGCAAGTCATGTAATGTGAACTGCACAGTTCAGCCCAACATTTTCAAATCATGTAGTGTGAACTAGGCTTAACGATACACTGTGCTCACAATACTGTACAGATTCTATAACAGGCCAGCAAACATTAGTATGTTTAGGGTAGATTTATATACTATTAAATGTATAAAAACTTTACTTGAGTATATTTCTATACTAAAAGCATAGGCTATACTCGGGTAAATTTTTAATACATATTTTTCACCTTGGTTATAACATAAACAGAACATTAAAGGTTTGAGTATTTAAACAACCAATTTTGTTTTTCAATTACAAGTTTTATTTAGGGCATGACATGACTAGTTACCTATATAACACTATTTGATGCCATTGGTAGTATACCACGATCAATATTCTTGCTTCGGCATACCATGTTGAACTCCATCATATCGCCGGGATGCTAATCATTTCATCTGAAGTGAACGCTACACACGACCGCGTTTCCCGAGCCGATGCAGAGGAGAAATCCCGTCTCTTCACCTGCTCAACCCGCACCAGGAACGAAAGATAGGCTATATAGCACCGTCCCTTTTATTGTAATGGAAACTTGTGGACTCAATCTTGAAGTCCTGACAGGCTGGGGTTTTTGCAATCTCCACAAACACAATAATTTACCATGACGATGATAAATTAAAATGCAAAAACTAACGAAAGCACACACTGACTGACGAGCGCTCTCACTGAACACCAGCCTGCTCTCACTGAGCCGAGGCTGCGGCTCCCTGATATGACGTCAAATGACGCGATGTTGAAAAAAAAAGCCGTTTTTACTAGCAGTCCAAGAAACGCTCACTTTATCTTCTAAATTAGTGTCCTTATGTTGTTTTAAAACATTTTAAATCCTGCATTAACTTTTCATATGGTATTTTCATACAAGGTTATCTATAAATTTCGATTTTTTTTTTTACCTGCAATATGCTATTTAAGTCTTAAAGGCACATAAAGTGGGAGTTGTCCCAGAATTGTCCTTTTGTATTGGTTCATATCTTGATTCTTTTAGAAAAGCCTGTGACAAATTTTGTATTTTAGAGATACCCCAGATAGCTCTGAATTCTCACTAGGTTTTGAGCCACGGCCTGTTTCTAGGGAATATATCTGTACATTTACTCATTTGCTGCACTGTGCGTGTGTTTTCTCTGCAGACAATCGTGTTGGTTCACTGGATACTGACAGTCTGGTGAGAGTTATGGCGCATTTGCCTTTCACGTTTCTGTTTTTTATCACTGACCTGAGGAATTTTACCATTAGTGAAAGTTTATCATCCAGTTCTCAGTTCAGCAGAATTGTAAATACATTTCTTCTTCAAACTAAAGAAAAATGAAGCCTCCTGTACACACACACACACACGCACGCACACACACACACACACACACACACACACACACACACACACACACACACACACACACACGTGTGTGTGTGTGTGTGTGTGTGTTTTAAAATACTCATAATCAGACGGTGACTGTAGCACTGTCGACTCACAGTAAGGAGTGTTTTCTGTGTGGAGTTTGCATGTTCTCCCCGTGTCAGCGTGGGTTTTATCCAGTTTCGCCCACAGTCCAAAGACATGCAGGTTAGGTGGATTGGACGGTAACACTTTAAAATAATGGTCCGTAGTTAACAAGTAGCTATGCAGGAAGTAATAGGTAGTACTGCATTAACACCGAAGTTAATACTATTAACTAATATGGAAGCAGTATTAACTAATCATTAAGTAATAGGTAATTAGTACAAAGGTAGTTCCTTGGTAGGTATTTGATTGTTACTAAAGAAATATATCCTCATTGAGAACTACTTGTGAACTAAGAAATAATAACCAATTAATTACTAATCACAAAAGTAACATGTCTAAAAAGTGAACAATTGTGGGGGTTTTACTCTTAACGTGGTCATAACATTTCAGAAGCATGTGCCTCAAATGGGTTCTTTGTGGAAACCAGTTTATGAAGTTTATATATCCTCCCAAATACATTAGCTAGGTTGAGATTGTGACCACTACTCTTGCCAGGATGGATGCATGTTCTCTGTTTATTTAAAACTTAAACATAAAATAATACTAATAATGACAGTTTTTAAAAATAAATCTTAAATAATTAGGAAGTGATGCTGACACTCTCATGATTGGATTAGTTCACTATTATGAGCTCTATTGAATGTCAGTCACATACAGTATATCTCAGACTCCAAAGACCTATAACTTTATGTTACAGTAGCTGCCTGAGGAGGACTTCTCTTTAGGACATGAATATAAACATTGATGTTCACTTGTCAAAAACAATTAGCATCTTTAATGAAGAAATTGGCTGCATTTATGTTACGATAAGCGCAAAACCACATCTTCCAGATTACAGTGTTTGTTAGAATATTAGTGCCTCACAGAACCTGTACAGTATGTGTCAAATATAAAATTAAATTACTTGTATCATTTGTGAAAAACATGTTAACGCCTCAATAGCTACTTAAGCGTTACCTTGTTATCCCACAGGAACTACTAGTGATGTGGCCCATTATTTTAAAGTGAAAAACATGTTAACTCCTAACTAACTACAAGCGTTACCTTGTGTAAACATTGCGGGATGACAAGGTAACGCTTGTAGTTAGTTAGGAGTTAACATGTTTTTCACTTTAAAATAATGGGCCACATCACTAGTAGTTCCTGCGGGATGACATGTTAACTCCTAACTAACTACAAGCGTTACCTTGTCATCCCGCAATGTTTACACAAGGTAACGCTTGTAGTTAGTTAGGAGTTATCATGTTTTTCACTTTAAAATAATGGGCCACATCACTAGTAGTTCCTGCGGGATAACAAGGTAACGATTAAGTAGTTATTGAGGAGTTAACAGGTTTTTCACAAATGATACAAGTAATTTAATTTTATATTTGACACATACTGTACAGGTTCTGTGAGGCACTAATATTCTAACAAACACTGTAATCTGGAAGATGTGGTTTTTCTGCTTATCGTAACATAAATGCAGCCAATTTCTTCATTAAAGATACAAATTGTTTTTGACAAGTGAACATCAATGTTTATTTTCATGTCCTAAAGATAAGTCCTCCTCAGGCAGCTACTGTAACATGAAGTTATAGGTCTTTGGAGTCTGAGATATATGTGACTGACATTCAATAGAGCTCATAGTGAACTAATCCAATCATGAGAGTGTCAGCATCACTTCCTAATTATTTAACTGTATTTATTAGGATTATTTTATGTTTAAGTTTTAAACAAACAGAGAACATGCGTCCATCCTGGCAAGAGTAGTGGTCACAATCTCAACCTAGCTAATGTATTTGGGAGGATATATAAACTTCATAAACTGGTTTCCACAAAGAACCCATTTGAGGCACATGCTTCTGAAATGTTATGACCACGTTAAGAGTATAAAACCCCCACAATTGTTCACTTTTTAGATATGTTACTTTTGTGATTAGTAATTAATTGGTTATTATTTCTTAGTTCACAAGTAGTTCTCAATGAGGATATATTTCTTTAGTAACAATCAAATACCTACCAAGGAACTACCTTTGTACTAATTACCTATTACTTAATGCTTAGTTAATATTGCTTCCATATTAGTTAATAGTATTAACTTCGGTGTTAATGCAGTACTACCTATTACTTCCTGCATAGCTACTTGTTAACTACGGACCATTATTTTAAAGTGTTACCGATTGGACATGTCAAATTGTCATAGGTGTGAAGGCCATCCAGTGTTAAACGAGCGGCAAATCAAATGTGTGTGTAAAATAGGGGCGGGAATCTCTAGGCACCTCACAATTCGATTACGATTCAGAGGGCTGCGATTCGATGCTAAAGCGATTATCACAAGCTTTTTTTTGTGTGCGTGTGTGACTAAATACTTTGCTTTAAAAGTACAAAGTAATGGGTACGCCTCAGGCGTGACAGGTGTCTGAAATCACAATCAAATTACGTCAATCACATTGACCGGCGGCAGCCTGTGACTCATTAATGTGAATGACTAACATATGACCCGGAAGTATAAAAAGGGCGCCTTTCAAACATGACAATATCTGTCAAACAGTCAACATCTGAAGGGACTGTTTGGCAGGCAGGCAGAGCCTTTGGACACTTGCCTTTAGGTAAGGCATCCAACCCGAGGGACTGCAAAGCTGGCAGTGAACCACTCGGCCCGGAGAGTATGACTCAGCATAGTGCTTTCCAACCCTTGCCAGCAAAGGGAGTTTCTCTACTCGATCCACAGTTCTACCCAGTTTTTGTGTTTCAAAACATTGAGGAGTCCTGTGAAGGCCAAACCAGGCTGTAGGCAAGAAAAGAGGTTCTAGGAGGGAACCAGTAGCAGAGAATGAAAACTTTAGTCGAGGAGGCCACTAGCTTCCTGAACCCAGCAACAGGAAACCACTCACAGGGAGGCCTGGGGCCTCATTTATAAATGTTGCGTATGCACAAAAGAAGGCGTACGCCGCTCTCTACACAATAATTGGTATTTATAAAAAGCAAACTTGATGGGAAAATGTGCGTTCCTTCACGCAAGCTCTGACCCAGGCGTGTGCACAAAAACGGGTGAAATGAGAAATGGCGACACCGTTGGCAGTTGGAAAAAACATGTGAAAGTGTGCGAAACTTGACGGTTGTGTAAAATAAATACTCATAAATAACATGAAGACTTCACAAAGCAAGTCTTACAATTAACAGCCTACACGAACACCCGTTTGATCGATCTGTAACAGAAATGCAAATTGTAATACATATTTCCAAAAAGAAAAGTGAAATATGTTCTGCAATAATATTGTCATGTTATACAATTCATCCTCATAAATAAGATGGTAAACAGAACGAAATAATGTACAAAACTGATATTCTTGCCAATGTGTCCGTCTGGCGGAGCAGATATAGATACAATTAGATAGATAGATAGACTGGGGAAAGTTGTTTTCATAGTAAAAAATGTCTTCATCAGCTACGGAATCATGGTATTCATGCGTATGTCTTTAGTTTGTTTTATTTTTGATAAAATAACGTATGACGTATGTCTCAACCATTCAGAAAGCTGCAAGAAATTACATTTGCGCTAAACTATTTCCTATTTCCAAGTAGATTATAACCGACATCTGTAGTTTGTCAGATGCAATTAAATGGATGGAAATAAAATGCCCCATCACAATGTGTAATGACGCACAATGGCTGATATTGCGCTCTTAGAAGATGTGGCGATTAAATGGAAGGATTCGGAGTGAACGCATCTTCTTCACAACAAAAGGTGTGGAAAAAATATATTATTTATTCAAGAATTCCCTCATTGTGCAGTTTATTTCAGTTAGGACAGTCTTGATTTCTCCCAACTCCTTGACAACCTCTCTGGTTGAATTAATGACTAGACGCTTTTTGCCTCAACTTTGATGTCCAACCATTTCTTTTTTATTTCGGCCACACAGTAAGAGGTTGTGAGGCTACAGCATTTACGGCGTCTGCAACCTTTTGCCACTCAAGTGCCTTTTTGGCATTAGTAATGCCCACACTGTGCTCTACAAACATTTTTCTCCTCTTTTCCACCTCGCCAACGATAACTTCTACTTCACATTGACTGAAGTTAGGTTTTTTTTTTTAATTTCCTCTCTGCTGAGGCCTACTACCTAACAGCGCAGCCTTTGTTGGCAGATAAGCTGTTTACACAGCGCCTACAGCATTCTGTTACCTAATCACATTGCCCATGGCAGTGTACTCAGCAAGAGAGATGGTTGCTTTTGGCTTGCTTTGGGCTTGCTCAGTTGGGGTTATTTAGTGTTTAGCAATATTATTGATTGGTGTTGTACTACTTTCATGTTATCACTGTGAAGCTGCTTTGATACAATCTGTATTGTGAAAAGCGCTATATAAATAAATGTGACTTGACTTGACCCTTAAAAGAAGGGGAGTACAACATACACAGAGACCCAGAGTTAGGGGCCTACCATTTGTATGCATGGCATGGTATGTCAGCTCATGGCATTGCTTCAGGGGAGCGTACTTCGACAAAAGAAGAAGTGAAGGCTAGAACATAGTGGTGCGAGGTAGGATAATACAGAACTGAAATTGAAGTACTCAGACCTACCCTGTATCACAGAGGAATACTCCCACCTCACCCTGAGGTTTACCAGGGTGCGGGCCTGCTAGCGGCCGGTTGGCAGAAAATTGATCTGTGCCCAACCTAGGGGAGTGGAACTTGTTTGTGAGCAAAAACGCCTACAGCCCAACGCCTGAACAGTAGCGAGGTTGTGAGGTAAGTGAAGCCTAAACTGGTGGCCCAGATTCGTATGTTAGTTCTGCACGGCAGGGTCGGACAGACAAACCCAGTCTCTTCGTGAGGTAAAAGACGGCCTAACCCTGCTCAATAAAGACACATTGTACCAGGGAGGCCTATTTGAGGCCTAACCCAGGATCTTTATAAACCATGCCTCTGCACCACGCTATCCTTACTCTTGTCGCCCCAGAATGCAGAGAAGGGGACGGGCCTTGGCCTAACGACTCTTATGGGAGGAGGCTGTCATACAGGGATGCTTTATAGAAACCTACATTCACAAAGTGAAGGGTAAGAGGCAGAAATGCATGAGCAGAGCGCCTCCACTATCCCTGGCACAGCCTAGACGAGCTACAGAGGCGGCCTTGGTGGCCCTGGCCCTGGTGAGGGCCAGCCTGCAAGCTTTTTGCCTCAGTCAAAACTCCAAGTAAAAAATCCTATGAGAGAGAGACCAACTACTCTACCCTGAGGTGGCTAACAGCCCAAGGGCTAACATAGTTTCACATCACAAGAGAAGCCACCCCCTGACCAAGAGACCACCCCCTGGTAGAGATCCCCCAGCAGATCAGCCTGATATACCTGCAACACCGCCATGATCTGCAGGGTAGCACCGGCCTGACCCGCTGACATGTATGCTCTGCGATTCAACTGGCAGGGTTGGAGCACTCAGTGTCGATTCTCCCATCAACATATACCCACGCTCTCCTATCCCCTCAACATTAGTGAGACTAGCCCACTGATGTTAGTGGCTGATGTACAAGCAGAGTATGGGTTCTTCCATGTCCTCTGACAAAGAAATGAAAGGCTCACCTGAACTGGTGGTTCTATGACCGGGGAAAAACTGCTCTCATCACGAGCGATTTCTCCCCCAACGAGCAGCCATGGCAGCTGCAGCCTGCCCGCAGCGCGTTCTATAACACCAACCAGCTCAGCATACATGGGGCAGGGTGGCTGAGAAGAATCAGGATATATACAATTATTGAATTAAAATAATTAGTCTTAACAGTTAAATGTGTGTTTATGTGCAGGGCATGCTCATTTCCCTGGCTTCCTACTTCTTATGTGTTGGGGAATGTGAGCGTTCTTGCAGTGGGAGTGTGGGCCATAGCACAGAGAGACTCCATAGATGCTGTATTATTGGTAAGTGTGATTTTTTTTTCATTCATGAAGAGCATGATTTTCAGATCATGAAGGCCTAGACATTAATTTTATTCAGTATTGATTACAGATGAGAAATCCACACATTTATGACATTTGAGTACTTCATAGCCATGCTTTTGACTGGCCAAAAAGTCTGGTTCACATCAGCCGCTTTTCTACTGCCGTGCCAGTGCGAGCCAGGGCTAACAATGTGCCAGGAAGGGCTAATACGGAACCTCGAGCACAGAGGTCAAAATCAAGTTGCGTTTCCACTGTCAGGCCAATAGCCCTGCGGTGCAGCCCTAAAACCTGCCTTTAACACGCCTCCATTGAACAACATCACACAACCACACCATTTCACCAGCTGACTGAAAACTAGATTGCACAAAACAATTCTGTTAAAAGGGTCCTATAATGCTTTTTCAAAATTTCAAATTTAGTGTGTAATGTTGCTGTTTGAGCATAAAAAAGATCTGCAAGGTTTCAAATGTTGATCTCCACTCCAAAAGTCCACTCCAAAGGGAGATATTTTATTTAACAGAATCCTCTTTTTTCTAAGAACTACAACAAACTTGTTCCTCATTTAAAAAAATCCCCACCCACTGTATATGCAGAAAAGCGGACAAGGCCTGGCTGAGCTGCTGCTATGTAAAAGAGACGCTGTTTTTTTCCCCCCAAAACTCATTTGTTGTTTGACCTTCCTAAAGCTGACGAACTTAGAATGGGTCTCATTTATTTTAAATACTGTTCCTGAACAATATACTCCTGATGTTTTTCTGTGCGGTGCAAAGTTTATAAAGGACAGCTTCCAGAACCACGATGCAGCCTACACAGAAAAATTGCGGAAAAGTTTCTTCTGAAATGGAACAGTTTCGACTTTGTCGAGACAATCTGTTGTTTGCGGATCACAACTTGTATGTATGTCTCAGCACGAGCCACAGGAGGATGGCATCTTTAAAAAGACGCAGCTCTTTTAGAAAGCGTGAGTCGTGGTGGCAAAAACACACTAGGCAGAGCAATGCAATATTTTAAAAGGATATGGAAGCCAGATAGCGTAGCAGGAATGGCGACTGAAGGCAGCAAAATGAAGGCCAGTGACTTCAGTTGAAATGGCTCGTCCCGCAGAAGGCTTTCCCGAAGGTGCGGCTTCTCACTCTGGATCCAGCGATGAGTGAGCTTCACTGAAGAGATGAAAAATCAGCCTCAAGCTATATTTATAGGGCTAAGCCACACCAGCTTCGGCCATTGGACCGTCACCAAAGCGGCTCTCTCGATAGGCTGCTGCAGTTGCCGCAGAACAGCCAATAGGCACGCTAAGCCACCTTGCCTATGTCTGCATGCTGCCACAACACGTTTTACATTAAATCAAAATTAAGGATTTTTTTTGGCTTCAATATCTTATGGAAAAGAGATTTTCCCCTAGCGTAAGATTTACGCAGTATGAGAGAACCTCTCATAAGAGAATACGTTTTGGATGTTCCTCTTGTTTGTTAACATTGTCAGGGTCTGAATCTGAATTTGAAATTGCTGCCATCCTTTGAATTTACACTAGAGCAGAACTCACAGTTTTGGAAGGGTGGGACATTTCACAACACACTGGGCCAGCTAATGCTAAGTTCACACTACAGAATTTTAAGCCCGATTTATGCCCGATTTGCAAATCCTTGAGCTCGCCGACAGGTCAGGGTGTTATCGCGTGCAAATCTCGGGGGATTAGCGGACGATGAACGCTTGCCAATCTGTTAGTATAAAAGAGCCAACAACGCAGCGAAAACGCTCGCAGACGCCTCACACGTTGTGTTGTGTGGTGTGAACAGCTAAACAACTTGAACACTCCTGATTTCACTGAGAGCAAGTCATGTAGTGTGAACCGCACAGTTCAGCCCGACGTTTTAAAATCATGTAGTGTGAACAAGGCTTAACCAATCACAGCAGATTTTGTATTTCGAAAGGAGGGGCTTCATAAAAACCGGTACTAAACAACCCGTTTGGACCAGACTGGGGAGAATGGAGCTGTAATAATGTAAACTATGTAAAAAATAACATGTAAACAATCAAGCATGAAAGCATATTCTAGTACACCCCAAAAACAAAATCAAGACTTAAAAGGGCATAATAGGACCCCTTTTAAGGCTTTTAAATGTGCAGTGTATATTTTTTAGCAACATCTAGCGGTTCGGTTGTGAGTTAAGTTCTCAGACCACGTGCTCACCCCTTCCGTTCGGAGAAGCTACTGTTGCTAAAATGGGACAAACATATTATCGTCTGAGACAGCAGAGAATGGCCAGAGTAAGCCAAGAGTGTGTAACATTATCACTCTTTCTGTACCACAGTCCATTATAAACCACATCATGGTCAGGTGAGGAAGGGTCTTAATAAATAAAATATAATAATAGTAATCAGCTGATTGTCTCACGAACGTAACCAGCACATTTCTCCCCACATACTGTAGCAAGCCCATAATATATCGAGGGAGAAGAACCACATGTGTGGTACCTGCCATGCAGTATACCTTATTTCAGGTCTGACTACGCCACCCCTGATGATGGCAGGGGGAACCACCAATCCTCTTGTGAATGTAGTGTGGCTAATAATGTTTATCCCCGCAAAGGGACAGTCAACAAGAGACAAATATGTAAATATACTCCAAATTTTACGGAAGCCCTGAACCGCAACCTAAAAAAAAAAAAAAAAAATCTGCAAAAAAAAAAAAAAAAAAAACCTGTAAAAAAAAAAAAACCTGTAAAAAAAATAAAAAAATAAAAAAAATCTAGCATTTCGAAATTAAAGTCGAAATGGTTCGAGATTAAAGTCGGAATGTTTCGAGATTAAAGTCGGAATGTTTCGAGATTAAAGTCGAAATGTTTCGAGATTAAAGTCGAAATGTTTCGAGATTAAAGTCGAAACATTGTGCATTCATAACAGTGCGCGTCCGCTGGCTCAGAGCGCGTGTGTGTGTGTGTGTGTGTGTGTGTGTGTGTGTGTGTGTGTGTGTGAAGTCGAACTGCCATGGATAAACCCAAAATAGTAGCTTTTTACTTCTATCTGGGCTTTCAACACAATTCTACACACGTCACACGTGCTAGTGGCAGTGTTTCTGAGGTGTTTTCGTGCTCGTCTAGTCAACACTATCTGGGTCGAGAACACAACAGTAACTGTTTGGTCTCCCTCTTCAACGTAAATTCGCTCTGGATACATTTTAAGTGCATCATTCTTTATCCAATCATTTGGCCGGATCCTGTGATTTCCTAAGATTTAATAACCACTTATGGTTGAGGAGAGATTCTCTGATATGATTGTAAAGCACTCTGAGTGTAGGCATATTTGAAAGCGTTATATAAATGCCCTATTCATTCATTCATTCATTCATTCATTCATAAAGCTGGATTTCTCCATCCAGTCTGAAAAGTGTTTTCCGTGTTGGTTTTCCTATAGACTTAAGTCTATTCCGGCGCATTATATTTTATAACGATAAAGTAAGATAAGTAATTCAGATAAAAGTAAAAAGCTACTATTTTGTGTTTATCCATGGCAGTTCGACTTCACACGCGCACGCTCTGAGCCAGTGGACGCGCACTGTTATGAATGCACATGTTTCGACTTTAATCTCGAAACATTCCGACTTTAATCTCGAAACATTCCGACTTTAATCTCGAAACATTTCGACTTTAATCTCGAAACATTCCGACTTTAATCTCGAAACATTCCGACTTTAATCTCGAAACATTCCGACTTTAATCTCGAAACATTCCGACTTTAATCTCGAAACATTCCGACTTTAATCTCGAAACATTTCGACTTTAATCTCGAAACATTTCGACTTTAATCTCGAAACATTTCGACTTTAATCTCGAAACATTTCGACTTTAATCTCGAAACATTTCGACTTTAATCTCGAAATGCTAGATTTTTTTTTTACAGATTTTTTTTTTTTTTTACTGAATTTTTTTTTTTTAGGTTGCGGTTCAGGGCTTCCGTAAAATTTATTACATAATTTTGTGAAAAAAATACATAGAAAAGTTATTAAAATAGATCTTAAAAAATGCTAGGATAAATGGCTGGTGGATTTTCCTCCATATAGGAAGGTCGGATCAGCGAATGCACAACCCCTGCTCAGGAGGCCCCTAGGGAGACAGAAACAGGAGACAGCAACCCAGCACCAGTCGAAGCATGCAACACAGCAAGCTATACACACTTAAGACCGTTAGATACCACTACAAAATGTCACACCGTGTTGTAGTTATTAAGTACACACCACTATGGTGTCTCGCCCAGTGTGGTCCCCTGAAGAGAAGGGGCAACGCATCAGTCTAGATCCGTCCTTGTACAAGGATAACCTACGCAAAAGACATAGTCAGGGAGGAGAACCACCAGCATAAAAGGCAACACTTAGTCAAGAAAAATACATGCTAATATGACTGTGGCACATGAGTGGTAAAAATACAGATAACCAAACAATATCAAACAAAAAATTAAGCAACAGGAAGCAATAAAGAAATGCTTAGAAAGTCACATGGAAACAGTGGCTGGCCTGGTCCCTTTTCAAGAGAAACCAAGCATGTTAGTTACCAACCTCATTAAACAGCATTACCATGGTCAACTCAAACATAACTAAAAATATAGGCCTACTTTTCAGTATGCTCAATTGTCCCACAGGCCACAGTGCATTAACACATGCAGATAAAAGGGGAACGTTCCATTGCTACGGACAGAGAAAAGTTGTTACAACATGTCTCAATGCAAATAACACATTCAATAAAAAAAATGTACATATTGAGGCATTTACCAGTGCACTGCATTCCTGCAGCTCGAGTCACAATGGAGGTGAACTCATAAAAGTTAAACTTCCAAACAGAAGCCTGTGTCCCCCGTGAAGAGAAGACATGCACTTCTAATTACCCTTAATAAAATGAAATAAATAAGTGTTAAAACCAATAGCAGTAATTAAACATGCTCTACAATGATCAATTATACCTGCATGAAATGAGAGTCCAACTCACACAACCACACCTAGCATCAACCGAAAAGAATGTCTGCTTTGCAGCTAGCAAACCTTTATCAGTTCCTGATTAGTCATGTGATCTTACAACAGATCACATGATTCTGGGTGTTGCCTGGATGTGCTGCAGCTATTGTATGTTGTATGCCTGTCTGAGTAGATCCCCACACATGAAACTATGTATTTTTTCTAACAGGGTAGTAAAGTTTAGCTGGCTAAATATGAGCTGTTACTGTGGCTGAGCTGGTTAAAGCGTAAAGCCTTGTTTAAACTTGACGCATCTGCGTCTCAATATGTTGTCCTACGGTGAGCCATTTTTTCCCCCTGTTGCACCTAGACAAAGGCATTTGAGGATTCCCCCATCTGCTAAATCCCACTTTAACCACTGGTTATGTTATTGTAAATGTCTCATTCTAAGGAAATAAAAACATTACGGTTTAGTTCTTTATACACCACTGAAAACTAGTTATGGATGTCATATTGCATTTCTGTTAATAGAATTTTTTTACACATTGCACCTTTAAGTCCAAAAGCTTACACATATAGAAAAATGCTGTTAAATTTTTATGTTTATGACACATTTCTGAGCATTTTGCATTTTTGTATGGCCAGCCAAACAGATAAGTGCTTAAAAGATGGCCGTTGAGCATGTTACGACTACTTGTTATTTTATTTTATTGTGTTTGTATATATTATATTTGTCATGCTAATGTTTGATATGTGCTCTTCTTCATTCAGTTCTTGATCGGGTTGGCAGTGACCATCTTGACTGACATTGTTCATTTTGGTCTTTACTATTTGACGAATGCAAACCCGCCGGACTTGTTCCGTTTTAGTGCAGGCATGGCCATCCTGAGCCTGTTGCTCAAACCGGTTTCCTGTTTCTTCGTCTACCAGATGTACCGCGAGCGGGGTGGCGAATACAACATCAACTTTGGTAAGTTGGTGACTGAAGAAAGGAAAAAGAATGGTGACTGATTTTAATGTAATGGGTGACTGATTCAGTTTGGTACTGATGCATGTGAAGTTCTTTCCATGTAGTTAAAATACTAGCTTTGTTTGCTCTGGTTTGTTTAAAGCAGTATCTAGCCTATTTTTAAGCATTATAATTATGTGGACAAGCAGAGTATTTCCGTGAAAATGGCAAAATGAGTAAAAAGAGGAGCGGGTAATTGAGTTTTAGAGAGTCACAAGACACATGCCTGACAGAGTGGCCCACATAAAAGAAAAGAGACATACTACATCTTGGCTGATCTCTGTTGTTTGAGGAACAAGTGTGTGGACCTAAATGGATTAGGGCAGTTATTATTACTTATGGTCCTTGATCTTAACTGTTTTGTGAAGGTCTGAATCAACTTCAACGTTTTATTTCACTAGGTCTACTCACCCAGTAAATCTTGAGATAACAGTAAGAAATATATATTTTTTAATGGAAGAGAACCTTTTAGAAAAAGAACATTATAGATAAAACCTTTGAACCTTGAAACCTTCAATCTGAAAAATATCTTGTAGATGTGTGTTTTTTTTTTTGTTGAGTATCTGATACATCAGGATTTTATAGGGCATGTAGTATGAAATAATAGGATAATATGGCGCTCATACTTTAGGAGGAAAATAATTTAGTAAAATATGCCATTTTTTGTAGCTGCTTATATTTATATGGACAACAGCTAAGATCACATACTTATAATGTAAATCAGTGAGATCTTTGTAACAGTATAGCAGACTACTTGCATAAAATGCATGTAAATATCATTTGTCATTGATATTGTCACACTATATTTACAACTGATATAACTTAGATGATATTTAATCACTGTAAAAAAAAGTCTGTGAAATTTAAGAAAAAAAAAAAAAAAAAAATTAAAGCTGCAAGCAGCGATGGGCGGGCCCTCGCACCTGTAGCACGTCGGGGTGTGAGGCGGCCGCGTTTCATTTTCTGCAGCTCAGCCAGTGCGGCTGTGCATTTGCCACACTGCTTCGTTAAAGGCCACTTCCTGTTGCCAGCAGGTGGCGCTATGACTGTGGGTGAATGTCGGCATGTAGATTTGATCAGGGCGGGACTCTTGTCAAATGTGTTAAATTTCGTGCAGATCTGGGCATTTACAGCCAAGTTACTACAACTTCCTGTTTCATGGCGAATCATCGACGCCACGGACACGCCCATCGACGAAAACGCGCAGATAGCACAACTTTTCATCGTCAATGCCTTTAGAAGGCACAGCAGAAATTTGAAGGCGATCCGACTAAAGCCCTAGGAGGAGTTAGTTAAAGTACGTAATGAGTAAATCATCCAAAAATGGCGGTAAAATTAGAAATGGCCGACTTCCTGTTGAGTTTAGGGCATCGCTCCAAGAGACTTTTCTGTGCGTCTGGACATGGTAGATGTACCACAGAAATTTCGTACATGTCGGTCAAACATGCGACGGGGGCTGCTTCGTTAAATGTCACTTCCTCTTGCCACTAGGTGGCGCTATGAATGTGGGTGAATGTCGGCATGTAGATTTGTTCAGGACGGGACTCTTGTCAAATGTGTAAAATTTCGTGTAGATCTGGGCATTTACAGCCAAGTTACTACAACTTCCTGTTTCATGGCGAATCATCGACGCCACGGACACGCCCATCGACGAAAACGCGCAGATAGCACAACTTTACATCGTCAATGCCTTTAGAAGGTACAGCAGAAATTTGAAGTTGATCTGACTAATTCCCTAGGAGGAGTTCGTTAAAGTACGGAGTGTGTAAATCGTCCCAAATCGGTCGCCGAATTCAAAATGGCGGACTTCCTGTCGAGTTTAGGGTATGGGTTCTTGAGGCTTTTTTGTGCGTCTGGTCATGGTAGATGTACCACAGAAATTTCTTACATGTCGGTCAAACAAGCAGCGGGGGCTGCTTCGTTAAAGGTCACTTCCTGTTGCCAGCAGGTGGCGCTATGACTGTGGGTGAATGTCGGCATGTAGATTTGTTCAGGGCGTGACTCTTGTCAAATGTGTAAAATTTCGTGCAGATCTGGGCATTTACAGCCAAGTTAGTACAACTTCCTGTTTCATGGCGAATCTTCGACGCCACGGACACGCCCATCGACGAAAACGCGCAGATAGCACAACTTTACATCGTCAATGCCTTTAGAAGGCACAGCAGAAATTTTAAGTCGATCCGACTAAATCCCTAGGAGGAGTTCGTTAAAGTACGGAGTCTGTAAATCGTCCAAAAATGGCCGCCAAATTCAAAATGGCGGACCTCCTGTCGAGTTTATGGTATGGGTTCTTGAGGCTTTTTTGTGCGTCTTGATATGATACACGTCCCCACCAAATTTCGTGCATGTAGGTTGAACGTGGACGAGGGGCTAATTTTTTCCAATTTTCTAGGTGGCGCTAGCGTGCCATTTTGCCCCGCCCATCTGCGAAACCCACAAAATACGAAATTTTTCACCAGTCCTGACATGCGTGCCAAATTTGGTGAGTTTTTGAGCATGTTGCGGCCCCGAAAATGGCGCTTACTTTGCAGAAAAAAGAAAAAAAAAAAAAAAAATTAAAGCTGCAAGCAGCGATGGGCGGGCCCTCGCACCTGTAGCGCGTCGGGGTGTGAGGCGGCCGTGTTGCATTTTCTGCAGCTCAGCCAGTGTGGATGTGCATTTGCTACACTGCTACGTTAAAGGTCACTTCCTGTTGCCAGCAGGTGGCGCTATGACTGTGGGTGAATGTCGGCATGTAGATTTGTTCAGAGCGGGACTCTTGTCAAACGTGTAAAATTTCGTGCAGATCTGGGCATTTACAGCCAAGTTACTACAACTTCCTGTTTCATGGCGAATCATCGACACCACGGACACACCCATCGACGAAAACGCGCAGATAGCACAACTTTACATCGTCAATGCCTTTAGAAGGCACAGCAGAAATTTGAAGTTGATCCGACTAAATCCCTAGGAGGAGTTCGTTAAAGTACGGAGTGTGTAAATCTTCCCAAATCGGTCGCCAAATTCAAAATGGCGGACTTCCTGTCGAGTTTAGGGTATGGGTTCTTGAGGCTTTTTTGTGCGTCTGGTCATGGTAGATGCACCACAGAAATTTCGTACATGTCGGTCAAACAAGCGGCGGGGGCTGCTTCATTAAAGGTCACTTCCTGTTGCCAGCAGGTGGCGCTATGACTGTGGGTGAATGTCGGCATGTAGATTTGTTCAGGGCGGGACTCTTGTTAAATGTGTAAAATTTCGTGCAGATCTGAGCATTTACAGCCAAGTTACTACAACTTCCTGTTTCATGGCGAATCTTCGACGCCACGGACACGCCCATCGACGAAAACGCGCAGATAGCACAACTTTACATCGTCAATGCCTTTAGAAGGCACAGCAGAAATTTGAAGTCGATCTGACTAAATCCCTAGGAGGAGTTCGTTAAAGTACGTAATGAGTAAATCGTCCAAAAATGGCCGCCAAATTCAAAATGGCGGACTTCCTGTCGAGTTTAGGGTATGGGTTCTTGAGGCTTTTTTGTGCGTCTTGATATGATACACGTCCCCACCAAATTTCGTGCATGTAGGTTGAACGTGGACGAGGGGCTAATTATTTCCAATTTTCTAGGTGGCGCTAGCGAGCCATTTTGCCCCGCCCATCCGCGAAACCCACAAAATACGAAATTTTTCACCAGTCCTGACATGCGTGCCAAATTTGGTGAGTTTTTGAGCATGTTGCGGCCCCGAAAATGGCACTTACTTTGCAGAAAAAAGAAAAAAAAAAATAATCCTAACAGTTTCAATAGGGTCCTCGCACTGTTAGTGCTCGGGCCCTAAAAAAAAAAACTCCCAACTGTGGTTGCCAGAAATTTACTGTAAAAATATTCCAAATGGTATTTATGGAAAGGTCCACCAGAGGAAAATAGGGGAAGGTCATGTCTTTTTATTCTTTGATGAGGGGAGGGTCATCCAACTTTTTTTAGTCTATAGGGGAGGGTCACCCAACTTTTGTATTCATCAAAACAGGTAAATTTCAAAGTGGCTTGTTTGGTGCATATTTTTTTCCATGTAGCTCCATATAGCTGTCTCGGTCTCGGCCCCACCGCCATCGCTGTCAGATGGGTCTGACCCAACAAAATTCTGAGTGGCGCCAGCTTTGGTGGCGCTGTTTGACAGTCTGTGCGCGCTTCAGTACGCGCTCAGAAAAAGTGCATTAGAACAGAACGGCAAAGAAATGTTTACCCGGCAAAGTTTTAAAGCACGAGCAAATAATGAACTTTTGTTATTGTGAATAAGTGCATTGTCCTGTGTGTGTAACTCTACCGCTGCATTAACATGTGATGTGAATGTACGTCGACTGTATTGGGACTGAGACGCCGGAACTGCAGCTGATATAATGTGCGCTGTAGAATGATACGACCATATTTTAGTTTCCATTCTTATTGCGTTTCCAGAACAGTTAGTGAGTAAATCTGAGCTGTAGGCTTGAATTCGTGAGGTGTGTGCGCTGTGCGGAATGAGCCGGTTTGTCGATCTATCTGAATTTTGATCAATCAGGAGCTGATGAAATCCACAGAAGAAAGACGAAAATGTCTGTGAATTTGGACTATTGAAAGGGAAGCATACTACTTTATTATGATTTTATTATCAAACTGATTAATAAATGCATGCACAACAATTATCAGTGAACTTGATAAATGTTGCAGATATGTTTTACTATGCACAAAATGCCTTTCAACTTGAGCGCAAAATTGCACGTTACATAAATGCGTCACCACTGCATCAGCACCGAAAACATGATTAAAAAATAAAAATAAAAAATTCAAATCAAAACTTGTGATACAAACCGAATTGTAGGTTTGGTCTATCGTTACAGCCCTAGTAAGATGAGAAAGCAAGAGTTTAGTCGTTTATCATGGCTATATGAACATATTTGGCAAGCGCAAACCAGTACAGAAGTAATCAATAAATTATCGGGGAGGGTCA